CTGGCGCAGCCAGGTCAGCCCCGAGGGCCCGCCGGTGAACTGCGAGCGGTCCGTGTCGTAGGAGCTGACGCCGGGGCACACGAGGCGGGCGCCGCGGTCGCTGAAGCGGAACAAGTCGTTGCCCCAGGCGTCGTAGGCCTGCTGGGGCGAGGCCGCCACGCCGCCGTGGCCGACGTCGAAGTCGGGCTCGTTGTACCCCAGCACCCACGGCGTGTTGCCCTGGCCCAGCTTGGCGAAGATGCCGTTCACGTCGGCGCCATTGCCCGGCCCGTGGTACATGGGCACGCCCTGGTACTGCGGCGCGTCGAGCGCGGCTGCCCAGTTGTACGCCCAGGATGGGTTGTTGCCGCCGTAGCGGGATAGTGCGGCGGCCGCCCAGTCGTAGTTGTATGCGATGCCCTTCTTGACGCCGCGCGGTGCGTCGCCGCGGCGGGTGAGAGTCGCGTTGAAGGCCGCCGTGTCGGGGGTCGGTGTGGGTGCGGCTGATGCCAGCGCGGCGAGGACGGCGGCGGCGGCGGTTGCGAGTGCGGACTTCATGTTGTTGGCAAGGGGGTGAGGATCTTGGTGGATAGGTATACAGATATTCAGATCTTCAGGGGTGAGACGGGAGAGACGGGATGCAATGAATGACTGCGATCAAAGGAGTGAAGTGTCGTATATACAAGCTGACTGGTCGGAAAGGGGTGAAGGAGTGAAGTTCTCAAGTTGAGTGAGATGAGTGCCGATGAAATGCTGCTGATGATGAAAGGAAACAACCCATCCAAGTCACGACACGTCGAACATCTTATACCTCTTCTGGCCCGCGACATCGTGGTGTTGACACCATGTTCAGATCCCGAGTGCGCCGCCCTGCACAAGGCGAGGTCGCGGTCGGCTGCGTGGCGTCGGGGGTACCACGCGGCTGTGGCCACGATCAAAGGAGGCCATGCGGCCAACATGGAAGGTGGAAAAAGGGGGGGATGAGATTTGGGTGATTCCTCCGGCCAGCCAGTTGGCCCATTTGTTTACCCCGCCGGTGCCTTTGTCTGTCCGTGCGGACGATATCGCGTACTGCGGTGGCATTGTCATGCGGTATGAGCCGGGATCCTGGGTGGAATTAGGAGTAGGCCGCATTCGGGAAGGAAATACGCTTCCAGAGAAATGTGTGGTCAGCGATTCGGCCTTCCGAGTATACGTAGTACGTTCCTGGCCCCTTGCAGGATGGATGCGTGGGCAAACGGGGCCAGGCCGCAACGCAGACCGGGTTCCTGGATCTGCGTGTGCGCCAGTTCAGTGGATTCTGATTTCGGAGCTGCCAGTCAGACTGGGCCGTACATCTGGAAATGGCAGCTGTGTAACTTGAGCGATGCGACGCTGCCATGAGATAGTATACCCTGTGCATACACATGTGGATGCTTATGCTGATGGATTTACATAGCCCGGGCTTCCTCAGTAAGTGAAGTGAAGTGAAGCGAAGTGAAGTGAAGTGAAGTGCATGCGACACGTTTTAGGTTCTGAGTGGGATTTTGCAATCCTTGCTCATGATTCTAGCGTGCGGCACGTCTTGGCACTTCCGGGGCGAGCTGCCTCATTGCACCGGGTACGCTTTTCGGGATCTTGAAGTGATTGATGCTGTCCTCGTTCACCTACCGAATGCGGCCTTGGAGTTGCTTGATTGGGGGGGCTGGCAATTGCCTGCGCGCAATGCAACATGCGGGCCTGGACCTCGGACCACGCCGCGACCAGTGGCCAGCACTGCAGGTTGCCGGGAGGGCAGTTGGTCGGAGTCGCATCCCAGCGCTCCTTGTCCCAACCCAGACAGCATGGCAGGCAAGAGACGGGACGTGCCTTTTTTGATGCTACTGTACTTTGTGAGAGCCACGTTACACGTACCCGATTAACGTGTAATGATAGCCGGGGATTTGTGAGTTTTGACAGGCACACATTCGCGTTGCGCGGGTAGGTAGTCGATGCATCGTCGACATCGGGCGGGGGATGCGGCACAGTCATGGCCCTGTATTCGCTACTGTCCAAGATGGGATCTTGTTTCCGCCGTGCATGATACTTAATTTCCATAGCCCTTCCTCTCCAAGCTGGACTGTATCGGCTCGGTGCTTCGTTGTTCCTATGTCTGTTGTTTGCGGTGTGCGCATCTTCCTTTATCCGGGCTACTAAACGTGTACGCAAAACTGAAAGCGAAAAGTAAAGTCAAGAGGGGGATACAACTCCCGATTCGCGGACCACCTGACAAGTTGGACTCACCACCCGGGGCAAGCGCGGGTGGCCGAGTGGTAGTACTGTAGCAGACGCTTCTGACCCGCTACACCTGTCAACGTACAGTAGAAAAAATCCCTGCCGGCCGCCTTCTACGCCGGGGTTTTTCGTAGGTCCCCTATTTGGGGAGGGGCGAACCCGGGGACGCCCAGGTTCGATCCCCCCTCCCCAACTAGGGGCTGAGCCTTTTTTGCCTTTTTATCCTTTTCAGTGTCGAGCCCTTGATGATGGATCGTGGCTCGAAAGCCTCAAACGCAGTCAAGCCCAGGGCTTCAGTTAATTAGGGGACTGAGGACAAATGGACCACTACAATGGCAGACTTCGGATTTGGGCCCCTTTTTGGCACCTTTCAAGGTGGCATTAATTCGCTCCCTTATTTTATTTTTATTTTTCACCTATTTTTAACAAAATCTGCCTCACCGTCGTCCAACCCTTTTTTGCGGCCGGCCGGCATCAGGCTCCGGGTCGGGCCTTGATTTCGGGCCTGCAAGGCACCCAAAATGAGGACCTCCTCTGGTCAATCATGTGGCTGGAAGAGGTAGCGGGCGGCTTCACGGCCAATGAGGTCGGCGCATTTTGAGACGCGGCTTTGCGCTAGCCATACCCGACCGTTTAGGCAGAGAGGCCTACAGTTTTTCTTTCCTGCAGCCCTGTGCAGCACACCACACCACTGGACAGCACTGCAGTCCAGCCCAGTCAAACTCACCGATCCGCCCCTCACAAGTCTGCCTCGCCTGAAGCGGGGCTTTCACTTTCGGCCCTCTTCCATCGACGTCCTCAATAGTTGACAACTCACCCCACCTCACTTCAAAACGGAGCTTTCATCTCGGCTTTCATTCTTCTCATTTTCGTCGCGCATTTGAGCCGGAAGGACCGACCGCGACCATGCCGCCCTCTTTGGTCAAAGCCGTTGTTGTAAAGACGGAGGCTTATGTCGATCTCACGCGCGAGAGCACAGTCGGCACTCTCGGCTCTCCAGCTCCAGCTCCAGCTCCAGCTCCAGCTCCAGCTCAGGCTCAGGCTCAGGATCGTACTCGGGGCGTCTTGAAGCGGCCATCGACGCCCGAGCCACACTGGCCAGACAGAACTCGACGGTCACCCAACCCAAGCCCGCCCGACACCAACAAAGTCAACGCTCGCTTTCGGAGCATAACACTCGATAATAGCGACGACGATGACGATGACGCGAGGAGCGTCACTATACCACTCAACATAAAACCCACAACCGCTCTTGCCACGCCCCCCAAAACAACTGAAAAAGCAAGAGCAAGTGGTAGCGACGCTCAGCGCCGCCGAGTCGTCATTACTTTAGCAGAGGATGGAGATCCATTCAGCGACGACAAGTATGATCAGACTCCACCAACACCCACCCGAGCACCGAAACGGCAGTCACGGGTCCCCAGCCCAGGCAGCCCCGGCAGCCCGAGTCGGCCGATTGTGATCTCCTCGTCGCCCAAACCCATCGCCCGACCCCAAACGGCTCCGCCCCAACTCGCCGCAGTCGCGTCCTCGTCGCGAGCAGGGCCTCGTCCGCTCGGATCACCTCCAGAAACGCCCCACAAGCGAGGCATCAAAGCCGCTGCCCCTGAGACACCGTCTAGCAAGCGCGTGAAGAGCGAGCGCTCTCCTACTCTCAAGATCTTCGATGAGGATGGTGCATTTGGGGCCCAAGTCGCCACGCGGGCGACACGTCCGCTGTCGCCGAGCCGTCCTGATCGGCACCTGCCGCCGCGAGCTGCTGCTGCAGCACAAGTCAAGCAGGAGTTGCCAGCACCGCCACCGCCGCCGCCGGCACCCGCACTCAGTCTCGCTGTTCTTAAGCAGGAATACAACCATCTCTGGGACATCCCGGAGCCGGACCCCGAAGACTACGATCAGGAATATGGCTGGCTGGACAGGGAGCTGGCAGGACAGGACGTGGCATACCCGCAGCTCCCCGCGCCGCCGCAGGAAGCAGGCGGGCAAGAATTCACCATGGAGACCATCTGGGCGGCGCACCACGGACACGCACCGCTGCCGGAACACGGGCGCGTCTGCAGGGGCTGCGGCCGGCCCTCGACGCTGAAGCACACGGCGGAAAACAACCCCAACGGCAACATCCGGCGGCCTTACTACAAGTGTACGCCGTGCAATAACTGGTTGACGTGGGCCGACGTCGTCGGCGTCGACGAGGGCAACGCGCCGTGCTACTGCAAGACGCCCAGCCGCGTCAGCGTCACCGGCGTCAACGCTCGCTCGGGGCCTGGCAGGCGGTACCGGAGTTGCGCCACGGGGCTGTGTGGATATTGGTCGTGGGGCGGTTGAGGCGTGTTGGAGACTCTGTTGTTTCTCTTTCCTGGACTGGAGCGGCTCCTGAAGTTTTTGCACATTACTCACTGCCTCATAATTAGTTAGGGAGGCCGGGTCGGATTCTACATCCATCATTGCTATTTAAGGCAGCAAGCACTCGTCCAAGTAGAGGCGAGAAGATCGATAGGAAACTGTATTTCATTCAGCCAAGACACTGTCAAATAATTACCAATCTGCTGTGGAGTCATCCGAGTCTTGATGGTGCGGAGCCAAGGAGAAAGCACAAGTGGAGATGTCGCCCCTAATCAGGGCAAGAATAAAAAGGCTCAAGAAATAAACTCCACCCACTATAAGAGAGCCATCCATCCATGCTGCACGCCACGCACACACATAATTACTCTCGTGGGACAAAAGCACCGATACTGTCTCCACTCATCAAACTAGCAACAGCGCAACTCGGTTCTATAGTGTAGTGGTTATCATTTCGGATTCTGATTCCGGCGACCCCGGTTCGACTCCGGGTAGGACCTTTATCAATTCTTTTATTTTTGCCGCTTTCATCTTCTTTATGTTTGTCTTCCTGGTTAGAGCGAACCGTCCGTCGATGCACAAGACTAAATCCATTTCGCTGCGAACCAAAAAAAGACTTCGCGAATATTGTGCTCCTCCGGTGTCTCAAGAAGCAAGGTATACGCCCTTGCGCCGCCGAAATCTCACTCTGGTACCCAGCGGGGGCAAGTTGACAAAGCCGGCGCGGATGGGCACCGGAGCGTCGTTGGAAACGGGCTCAAAGTCGTAGTGCTTGACCACGTAGGCCAGCAGCATCATCATCAAGCGCGCCATGAAGAACCTTCCCGGGCTAAAGCAACAAGTCCATAAGCTCATGCCAGCGAAAAAGGGGAGGCAAGAAAAAAAAGAGAAGCCCAACTCACCAAGCATGCCGCCCAAACCCAAAGAACAGAAACGACTCGCTCACATCCGCGATATCACTATCCGCCTTCAGCCTATACCGTCGACCACCCTCGTCGTCATCATCGTCAGCCTCGAGAAAACGGAACGGATCGAAGACGTGCGGCCGCGGCACGAAGCGCTCGTCGCGCGTCATGGCCTCGGCGGGACACGCGAGCCGCGCGCCGCGCGGCACATGTGTTATACCGTCGGGCAGCAGCACGCCGCCCGGCGCCACGACGGCGCGCAAGGGGATGCTGGCCGCCAGCGGGCTGTAGCGCATCGACTCGCGCGCGAACGCCGTCGTGAGCGGCAGTGTCTTGGATGTGAATGTGGTGATGTCGGTCCATGCTGTTGGCTGCGAGAATACTGTGTCGACTTCGTGGCGGAGCAGTGGGAGGAAGGCGCGCGCCTCGGCGCCGCGCTGCGTGATTAGGTTGAGGAGTAGCGCGAGCGTGCCGGGCTGCTTCACGTTGGATGCCACGCCGTACTGGTTGGTGGGGGGGGAGGATTTGTGGGCTTCAAGTTAGTGGTGCGGTTCGATCAACAGAGTGTGAAAGGGAGGGATGGTGGCGAGACATAACGCACCATAATCATGAAGTTGCTGGAGATGGACTCGACCGTGTGGCGCTTGGTGCCGGCCAGCGCCTCGACAGCGCCGGCCGTGGCCGAACCAACCCCCGACAGCCGGCCCGCCTCGAGCTGTGTCCTGACCGCCGGCTCCCAGATCCTCTTGAACGCCCTCGTGTAGTAGCCCAACGGGATCCGGAACAGCCAGCCGAGGGGCCTCCTGAAGACGGCGGGCGAGAACTGGCCGATGACGAGCCCGCCAAGGCCGGACCAGTTGGCGAGCTTCTGCAGCACGCGGCCGAGCTCGTCACTGCTGCCCAGCTCCGCGCCAAAGTACAGGCGCTGGCCGACATGCTTCATGATGGTGCCGAGGGTGTCGAACAGGGCGACCTCGGCCCACCGCTCCTTGTCGGTGCCCAGCCCGGCGTCGGTCCAGCGCTGCAGCTCGCGGTACATGTCGGCCTGCATGCCGTCGACGCCCGCCGGCGACATGTGGCGCTTTACCAGCGCCGGCACGAACTCGGCGGCCGGGTCCGCAGAGGGAAACATGTACCGGATGGCCATGCCCTCCCACAGCGCCGGCCGCTGCGCGAGCACGCTGCTGGGCTGGCTCAGGAGCCACTTGACGTGCTGCGGCGGCACGACAATGTCCGGGCCGAGGGACGGGCTGGGGCTGATGAAGGGCTTCCCAAGTCTCGAGAACTACGCGCACGTGTCAGGACTCGGGAAGTAGAGAGACTGTTAGTTCGGGGAAATAAGCTGACCTCGGCGTACGCGGCAGCTCGCGAGCTGTGGTACGAGGGCCAGGCCGCGAGGTAGGCCGCCGTCCGAGACAGCAGGCTGTTGTCTCTGGCTCCGAGGACGCTGATTGTGCGGGGGAGCGCCCACAGCTGCAAACATGAAGACAAAATGGCCACAAATCCCGCCAAGAGAAGCAGGGACACGAGGGACGTGGCGAGGGCGGTCAAGTAATACGCCATGGCTATGTCTTCAGGGGAGGATCGGTTCGTTACACGGGACTGGTTGTGTGGCTTCGGCAGTTTGTTTGTACCACATTCACAACTGACACAAGAGGAACGGCCCGTCGTTTTAACTTGTGCGACATGTGAGCCTGGGGAGGAGCAAGTCTATCAAGATACAAGCCTGGAACGGTCTAGCTGGGCCTGGACTGGCGAATACAAGATTCGATCTCGAAACGCTCTTGCATGTGATGTGCAACAATGGCGGCTTTTTTTGACGGGCGTGGGGGTGAGGCGTCCAATGCCTTTTCTACGATTAGTTTGCAGATTGCCGAGTGTGGGATGTGTTGCAGCCTGGGCTCGGCTCGATACGACGCTGAGATATCAAGCACAGGTCTTGGACATCAACGGCAGGGATACATGGGATTCCAAATCTGCTATGCCTCCATTAGGCATCCCGAGCCTATTGACAGATCCCTTGGCACATTACCCTACTCAATACATGCCGGGCCTAACCCAATGCTTGTCTCTAATAGCGACCGCCATGCGGAACAACTCATGGCATTCGTAGCGATATCGCTCCCAGATACACTGCGATTAACCGGGGGCAAGAGTAAGACAGACACACCAATCTACCTTTTCTCTATTCTAAGCGGAAACAATACCTAGAAGCCCCAATCGGAGTCTCGTTTGACTGTCAAACGCCAAACGCTCACTACCCAGTCTTAGACCCAAACCAGGATTGTCACAGTCTGGAGGCAGAAGTTATTGAAACCCATCCTTTTCTTCTGGCTGTAAGAACCACACGGTCCAAGGATTCCTATCCAAGTGGCTGGCGATGTCGACGCCGGCTATTATCTCAGTACCGGCACGCACGGTACTCTTGCGCGTCAACTCTGCGTGGTCCATTTTGGACATGGGGAACTAGGGGCGTCAAAACTGTCAAACTGAACAGGCCGCGATCCAGCCTGCGATGCATGATATGGTAGAGAAGTTAAGGAAACAGCCAAGGTAAGATATGTTGCTGAGCTGAGCGAGCTGCGGATCGTGGCTGCTGCGGTCTGGGAAAACGCCTGGTGGTTGGCTGGTTGGTGTCTGATGTCCAAGACATATTTTGAGTGAGGGAGGGGCGGGGTTGCGGTTGGGCAGAAATGGGACGTTGCACATACACCCGACGTGTTCACCGCATGAGTGCACGCACTACTGACTGTGAGGCCTTTTTAAATATAGGGCGTCCTATTTTTCCCACTCTCTCCTCATTCATCTCTGGCCTACGTTGACGAAAAGATCAGCGACCCTGAGTGTAAACAATGCAGCTCCTTTCAGGTGATGAGCTTGTCGTCCGTCACAGGGACAGCCCTCCACGCAAGGCTAAATCTCTTGTAAGCGGAATAGGTGTGACGGGCGCTGGGAAGATCCCTTTCTTTCGGCTGTATAGACGATATATAGTCAAGAAGCACAGGATCCAGGTGATTTTTAGAGACTACGCGCGGGACTTCACTCTCGTTGACACTCCGGGGCTCTCCAAACTCAAAAGACGATTTAGAATTGTTGTACGGCCCCTGCATCTTTTCTCTTCTTGTAGGGAGCTAACTGCCGAGGCATCTGACATGCAACAGCCATAGACAGCGAAGACAGTTCGAAGTAATCAACGATCCTTCTCTTCAGGACCCAATGACTACACGACCAAGAGACTCTTGAACGGAGTCCCCATCGCTAGTCTTGTCGACAACGGAGCCGAGCGCTGCCATGTGTCCCTCAGGTTCGCCGAGTCGCACAAGCTCTCGCCACAAGATGGAACCCAGCACGTGGTTCAGCCGGGCAACGGGAAGACGGTGTTATCCCCGGGAATCGTCTCCATCCCTTGGCAGTTTTCCGGGGAGTCAGAGTCCTACCTAATTGACTGCGCCATCATTCCAGGATGCGTCCGGGACCTCGTCCTCGGGGCAAATTTTCTGCGCCTCACGCAGACCTTGACCAAGTTCAAGAGCAGAATCACTGCGACAGCCCGGGGAGTCCTTCGCAGATTACACCTCAATCTCCTTGGAGGCGAGAAGCAGCGACTCTGGAGGTTCCTGGATGATGTCCTGGCCTCGGCGCTCCCCGACACTGGGTCCGACGTTATGCTGGTTTCGGAAGACTACGCGCGCTCACGGGGCCTTCACGTCGACCGCAACCCCCAGCATCGTCTAGAACTCGAGCTCGGCGATGGGACAGTTACCTACACGAGCGGCGTGGTTAGACACCTGGTCTGGTCGTTTGGGGACTCTGGAGAAGACGTCACCAGCGACTTTTACGTCCTCCCAGGCATGCCAGCCGACATTATCCTCAGCAACGAGTTACTCTTTGAGCTTGACGTCTTCTCCCGCTTCGATGAGTTCCTCATCTAGTCCGACTCAGACCTCGACCTCGCAGGCCTGTATAACATCCGGCTGATTGGCGTGTACAGCGCCGAGCTGCTGGACCTCGAGAGCCAATACCTCGACGACTGTGAGTTCCATCCTTGACAATAACTAAACTTCTAGCCGTATGCTGACTCCGCACAACAGTAAAATCCCCTGAAGCGTTTAGTCGGCTGATGGTGCAACTCGAGCTCGTGCGGCGCGACCGGATACGGGACGCCATCGAGAACCTCCCAGAACAACGACAGGATGAAGCTAGACGAGCAGAGAAGGAGCGGTGTAGGTTATGGAACGAGGCTCGACTAAAACATCTTGCCCGGAGAGAGAGTGAGACAGACCTAGGGCCAAGCACAACCCCTAGCACGAGGCCGGATATACCAAGCACGTCACCAACCACCAGACCCGACCAAAACAGTCCAGCACAACAAAGCAGCCATGAGCAGACCAAGACTCCTGTACCATTTCTCAAACGGCTGAGATTCCCAAAGCGCATTCCCAAACCACGAGCAGCCCCTACGCAAGACATGCTAGCCATACCAGGGCCATGAAGCACGTAGTCATGTGGCCAGCTCAGGCCGGTCGACATGGAGATTCAAACCAGCACGCCAACTCCACGACCCGCAATGCAAGCCGAGAAAGATAATGCGAGAG